GTAAAATGATACCCGGGGTCAAACAGCAAAGTTACCACAGCATCACAACCAAGTCAGTAACGGGTAAATCCTCCTCTGTTTGCCAAACAAGCATTGATCCGACGTGGCATACTCCTAATGAGACGTCTAAGGTCATTTTGGTCCAGATTGTCCCATTCCTGTTGCAAGTTCTTGGACATTGGCAGGACGTTGTTGACGTTGACGTAACCTCTGTCCAAGCATGTCCCAGACATGCTCGGTGGGGGAGAGGTCGGGACTCAGTGCTGGCCAAGGTAATGTGGTGATGTTCTGTTGTTGGAGGTAACCTGTAACGATCCTGGCCCTGTGACATCTTGCGTTGTCATCCTGGAAGATGAAACGGCGGCCATGACGTCGTGCGAACGGCACAACATGGACTGCCAAGATGTTGTCCCGGTAGTACTGGCCTGTAACACGCCCTGCAACAACATGTAAAGCCGTTCTTCCAGCAACAGTGATGCCTCCCCACACCATAACAGAACCACCCCTAAATCGATCATGTCTGATGACGTTAACGTCTTGGAAGCGCTCGTTTCGACGACGCCACACCCTCCTACGTCTGTCCAAAAAATCAACAGTGAACCTTGACTCATCTGAAAACATCACATTGCTCCAGCGTCGATTATCCCAGTGTTGACGATCCCTACACCAACGACGTCTTGCCTGAATGTGATGATCTCTCAAACAAGGGATCACGCGAGGACGTCGGGCGCGAAGGTGACCCCTATGCAGTCGATTCCGAATCGTCTGGCCACTCACTCTCACACCAGTGTCTGTTTGAAGACGAGCGCTGATCTGATTTGCTGTGATGACACGATTTCTCAAGGCCAAGGTTCGGATAAATCGATCCTGGGCTTGAGTTGTCGCCCTTGGTCGACCTGAGCGTGGTCTGTCCTGTACAGATTGTGTATCACGGTATCTGGACCATAGCCTGCTTATGACAGACTGAGAAACAGTCATCGTCCGCGCCACAACCGCCTGTGTTGTGCCGATCTGTAGCATGCCAAGGGCACGTAACCTTTCATTTTGGGTAAGCCGACGCATATCAAAATTTGTTTTCTGGTCACTAAAACAATTAAACTGATGTTTCCACCCTGGAATTCAATGCCACAATGACTGTAACATTCAAAGTCAGAGTCGTGCAAATCTTGGGTTGGACCCCCATGATGATCCCAAGCATCACCTGCATTCCATGCGGTAGCTATTGGTGCGTTTGGGCGTCACATGTAACTGGAAATGTTTCTTCTGTTAGGTTCTATAGTGATTTTTTTCGTAGTCATTTGCATATTTTAGTATTATGCCCCCAAAATCAAATATCCCCTACTTTTTTTGAATAGTATAGGTTGGATATCCCTGAAAGCTGGAGGAATTATGAAAAATATTTGTTGTTAAAGCATGTAATGTTAGAGCATGTACGGTGGCTGATTTAGGACACGCAAAAAAATAAAAATAATAATATCTCGAGCTCACGAGATACTAAGTCGAGCGCTTGAGATATTATGTCGAGCGCTCGAGATAATTAATTCGGCGCTCGAGATACTAAGTCTAGCGCTCGCGATAATACAACCGAACACGTCTCAACCGATGTTTTAGGCTTTATAATTTTGTGCATTATTTAATGATAAACTTGAAGAATAAAGATATTCATTTGTTCGTTTCTTTTTCAGCCCATCCAAAGCTGCAGTGACGGAGCGGATACTTGACTTAATTATCTCGAGCGCTTGACTTAGTATCTCGAGCATGTGACATTTTGCAGGTCATTCTTTTCTTTTGTCAACTTTGTTTGGGAGGAGTGGGTGGTTTATCTATTGCAGAACCTTGATCTGAACTTGACAGTTCCTTTATCTGAACCCTTCAAGGTGCCACAACAAGCACCAACATTATTGTTAATTTTAAGAAGTGGAAATTGTATAAATCGTTTTTAGGTACCCCTGTCCCTCCTCTACAGGTACTATCAACTTTATTTGAACACATTTAAATAAACACCATTCAAGAAAAATACTTAAAATTATGCGACAGTCACTGTTCATAATACAGGTATAAGCCAGGGACCAATGGCCTGATAAAAACGACATTGAGCCAGGTGTGCTGTCTAATCATCTCTAACTTGGCAATATGGCTAATCGGAGTGGGAGCACATTTTTAAGCTCAATTTTATGGGATTATGTTGAATTTCTCAAAATATTTTCACTTTATGTGACCAGAACCTTTAAAAGTCTATCAAATTGGCCTAAAATATGTGTTCAAAATTGCAGTAAGGTAAAATTCTTTGAATAATTGTTTCTCAAGTTTTAAAGTGTGATTCTGTTACAAAATTTGTAAGGGTTAATAAATCAACATGCTGATAAAACAATCAGGTTATAAAAAATCTCATTAAAAAATAACATATCTTTATTCATATTATGATATCTGATAAAATGGTTAACAACAAATATAAAACATACAGCACACTAGTTTGTTTCTTTTTTTTGTAAAAAGCAACAATTTGAAACAAAAAGGTACAATGTGTACAACCTTTGAAATATTTGAGATTTCAAACACATTATTATGACATATATAAACAAAATACAACTTGTATTACATATTGCACTAAAAGCATCTATTGCTAATTTATTTGGCTGTCTGTTATTTCAACTGAGGTGAAATATAGCCAGCCAAGTATTTGTCAATGACTAGTCGGAGGATTAAACAAGTTTTCAATATGAATAATTCTATTATGCTGTCAAATCGCAAGTACAAACTTTCTTTTAAATCAGAACATTTTCTTGTAAGATTTTATATATTATGCTGTATGATACTATTTTCTATGTCTCTTGATTTACGAATGTAAAAATATCTCATTCAATTTCAATAAATTAAAATTTGGATCAGTATCGTAGCAAACAAACATTAAGAGAAAACTAATCAAATTAACTTTAGAAATACCATGCATTGTCTACACTATACATACAGACACAAATTTTTTAGTTTTTTCCCATCTGCAGTTCAAATAATAAAAATGAGATCAACTAATACTCATTAATGGAGAATGGACTAATCTCTCCTGTCCATTATGTATCATTTAGATGTTACTTAAGCATGCATTATGCAAGAGCTAAATCTGCCTATTGCAGGTCTTTCTTTAGGCCTGAAATGTTTTCTAAAGTATTAATTAGACATTAATTAACTGATCCAGGCCTTAATCAACTCTCGATGGCATCAGATTTCTCCGATATTAAATAGATTAGAATGGTTCAGCGATACTTTGATTTAATCAAATATGGAGGACCGAGACTTAGTTTCGATCAACCAGTACGGTGGTTGAAATTATTGCACACGTCTGTCAAACCTTCAAAGGCTAATATCTTCGCTTGAAATAGAGTAATTTGAATGAAATTTTCAAATTATTCATTTTACATCATCTACTTTCGAACTATTATAGCAAGAATGGCTAGTTCTTTATCTAAATCTTACATAATGTATCTTTAAGACACAACTAAATAATACACCAGTCACAATTTTATGGAATACAATTACTGTTTTATACTAAGCAACAGTGTGGGATTCGCTAGTCTCTATAAAGAATCTTATTGAAAATATAGCTCACTAATTGTTTTCCATGAAATTGTGTCCTGTGTATTTCCTGTTTAATCAATAATTCGTGCCATTGAATTTGTGCTATACAAGACACCATCAGTATCACCAATGCTCCACAAACCTCAAGAAGATATGTTTATAAATTTTAATTCAAATTTTATTTCTGCAGATTGAAACTATCCCAATGAGACAATATCTTGTAAATAATTTTTAAAAAGCATCTCATATAACCAATTGAACAAAATTCTTGAGTTAAATAATAAGAAAATACATGTAACAGATATTAAAATATTAATCAAAATGAGCAAATATTCCATCAAAAAGAAAAAAAATATTGTGAATATAACATAATATATAATACTTAACCACAATTAAAATTATTTGTTATTAAAATACATATATAATACACAATATTTTCATAATTGGTTTTAGTAACTAAATGTCAAGTTATAATAATAAATGTAATCTATAATTGAGACAGTGAGATTCAATATTAAAAGATGAAATAGATGTTATCTTTGGAAGGTATTAATTAATATTATGACAACTTGAGTAATATTGTTCCCCATTATAATAAATAATTGATTTGCCTTACTTGAATTGAAAATTTTGTCAAATTTTTGATATAAATAACTTTTTTTCAGGTACTTGGTAATTATTGCATTTGTCTGATGCCTTACATGACTAAATGTTCTGGGTGAGATTTCTTCCAAATCAAAAGTGAATATGAAAATTGAACTCACCCACTTTAACAAATAATATTATTTTGGAATGTAGCTAAATTAAATTAATTCTAATTATTATTTTCAAAACAAAACTTTTTTTTTTATGAAACTGAATATTTGCAATTTTTGTACCAAGTCAACAAACATTAAAATTTGTGGATAACACCCCCCCCCCCCCAAAAAAAAACAACCCAGTTTCATTGTTATCTTTCTTAGTTCATTTGAACTTTTACAAATGAACTATTGTTAGGTTCTCTAATTAAGTTATAGAAGTGTGGAATTTTTCTTTTTTTTTCAAGTAAAATGACAATAAACATGTATTTTATTGTAATTATATCCTGGTCCAATTTATAAAACCCCAAATATATATATATACACAAATAAAAGGCAAACACTGTATGTATATATATATATATATATTATAAACATATTTGATATGGCTAATACTATTTGTATATCAATTCTGTAACTACTGAGAATTTGTGCTAATTTCCCTTTTCTAAAATGCAGTTTAAGCTTTCATTACCCCAATAAATAATTTAATAATCCTTGAGTGGCATTTAGCGATTGAACACATTAAAAACACAACACAGTTTATATGGAAATACAATCACTGGTTTATAAGTATTGCACGACGTTTCGACAAGTATTCTTGATAACGATAAGAGAATACTTGTCGAAACGTCGTGCTATACTTATAAACCAGTGATTGTATTTCCATATAAACTGTGTTGTGTTTTTAAATAATTTAATGCTTTGACAAAATTTAGTTTAGTTTGTTGAAGTGAACTGCAAACAGTAGGAGTAAGACCATTTAATATTTCTTTTTATCAACATATTGTTAAATGTGGCCAATCATATGTATACACATAATATTAATAATAACAATTTATCTCACATTAAAAGATTTTTACAAATAATTTTCTTTTAACCAATCACCAATCAAATGAGAATTTTTCTCCATCCAATCAATACGAGAGGTAATACTTTCTAAACTCTGTCGTACAGCTCTGTTAGCAGTAGCCATATCTCTATTGTCAAAAAAGTTCTTTACCTGAAAATATATAAATAAAATAAATTTAGTTTTGGGAGAGTGTTTCCAGGTTAAACCAGTCAAGGATGATGACCTGCAATTGGGGAAAATAGTCCACTCCCAAGACCCTTAGGGGACACTTAGTAGGCTATGACACTGCCTTTACAAAAAGCCTCACATATCTACAACAAACAACAAAAGAATTGCAGGAGATAGGTTGTAAGGGGCTAGATGGCCCCAAATTGCTAATTCCACTCCAACCGACTACAATATGTACTAGGATTAAATAGCAACAAAAGAATGGTAGGAAATAGGTTACAAGGGGCTAGATGCCTCAAATTGCTAATTCCACTCCAACCGACTACAATATGTACTAGGATTAAATAGCAGCAAACCCTAGAAATGACTTCCATCATACTTCTCACACAGCAGCATTGCCAGATGTTGTACACAAGCATGGTAGGCGTGCCCGTTCATCTGGTACACTTTCCATTATGGGATTTCACTTGTTCACTTGCTGGCATAGTTCGCTGTCAATTTTTATTTATTATGACATGGTTAAGACTGAGAAACAGATTTGTAGGGACTTCATATTTTTCTTGGAGATCTTAGAATTAAGTATAAGGAAAGAGTACATGAAGACTAACCTGATCATGATAAAACTGTGTATTAAAAGTGGTAATTAGTGATTGTACAATACCAGTCATAGTAAATGATCCGGATCCATATCTATTGCAATAAAACACATACAATTAGATAATTATATAAACAAAACAACAAGTCTTACTAGTTTCAAGTTATAATAAAAGCTTAAAATATCTCTAAATCTAATTGGGGATCCAAACAATGAAATAAGATAAGTTGCGCCCACAGCAGCTAAATCACACGGGCAGTCAACAAGAGTTGTCGCAATTTTTTTACTTTTGTCGGTAATATAACATTTATAATACATTAAAATCTGATTAAGAGTAATCATAAGAATTTGTTTGGCCCATGCTAACGTTTATTATACAAAACATCTACATGTAATATCATGGAATTCGCTCTTCAAGAAAATCAATAAGGTCTCAAGACCTTAAACTCTGTGTATAAATCTAAAGTTAATCAAAACAATTATATCCAGGCGTAAATATGGTATATAATTATAAAATCAATCAGATGATAACTATGGTCTCTAAAGCATCAACAAGATTTTTCTAAGTGATCAAGGGCCATAACTCTGTCAGTAATTATCGGAAATCAGTGAAAATCAATAGGCTTAAAGCTTAAACACTGTGTATAAATTCAAAGTCAATCAGATAATAACTTTAGCCTCTAGAGTGATCAAGGGCCATAACTCTGGGAGTAATTATTGGAAATCGTTGAAAATCAATAGGCTTCATCGTCTCATGGCCTTAAACACTGTGTATAAATTAAAGTCAATCGGATAATAACTTTAGCCTCTAGAGCATCCACAAATAATTGTGGACCTTAGATTGAATAGACCGTTGAACAGACGGATGCAACGACAATATACGACCACATTTCAATGTGGGCGTATAATATAACTGTAATGCAGCAGTAGTTGTCAAACATTAATAATATAAGGGCATTTATACACACAAAACATCCCCTTAATAATGAAGAATGAATTAATATGGCCATTGGCATTTTATGTGCCAGTATGTTTAATTAACATGGAATAATGCATTACTGGAAACTTCTCAATAAGCTTACCTTTTAAACAGTTCTTGCCAATGTTCTTGGAGAAACTGCCAGGCAAAAATCTGACTAACAGGATTTTTACTCATTGCCCTCAAAACTATATCTGTTATCTTGGTATCATTCAAGGCCCTATTTAAATACCTGTAAAAAGTAAGCATAATTTTAACAATCTATTTGCATACCGGGATTGTAATAATTTGATATTGTGGATATGTTTAGATTGATTGGCACAGAATTGCAACTTTACCTAGTTTTATTTGCATAATTCTCTTTATTTCATACAAAAAGTTTTAAAATTCCATCATTTGAAAATAAGTCAATATGTGATACATTAGCAGTTAATAAACTTACATATTAATAATACGAACATCTTTTGTATATACCAAGGCTCGAACTAAGGTATCTTTTTCTGAAGGTATTAAAGTAGTTTTACTCTTCTCCCATACAAAATTCCAATCATCTTCATCACCAAATTCAATACCAATTCTTAAAATAATACTCTTTATATTCTGATTAATACTGAAAAAGAGATAGAAACAGGGTTTAACGTCCACTTGACAAAACTTAGGTAATTTTGAGACAGAGTACAGCAGTGATGGGATTTAAAAAAAATTTCCTTGTCCGACATTTTACCAAAAATAAAGGGCCATAACTCTTAGCGTTATTTAAGCAGACGGATTCATACCACAATTAAAAGTCACGTGTTAACAAAATATTCAAATCTGGTACGTAATAAAAATAGGTAAACCTTGCTATTTTTCATATTTAATTCCCGTACGGTATTCAAATTTATGACATAAACAATCCTATAAAATAACTCATTTTTGTAATACATTGAATGAAAGTTTGCTGATCACTAATATTCCTGCAAAATTACGTGTCTTCGTTTATATGGCAGCAAATGAATGCAGAAATTCCTGAATAAGAATCGTTTTCTTCTTTATAAAATGTCAACAAAATACCGGGTATTCATATCCGCGCATAATAAAAATAGGAACACCTCGCTATATTTCATATTTGGTATTCAAATTTATGCCAATAATATTCCTATAAAAATAATTTCAATAATTCGCTTGCACGTAAGGGTCAGGCCCGTAGCCAGGGGGGCCAAGGAAATTTCTCACGGAAAATGGTCATGCCAAATGCTATTTTTACTTTCAAAGGGAGGTAACTCCCTTACTTCCGTTTCATAAATCGACTTCATGATTGGCTGAATTTGACCGGAAACTTATAATTCCGGTAATATGGTTTGTGATTAGTACTGTTTGGAGTAAATAAAGTATATTGTAATGGTGTCAGAGTACATGAGCGTATCAAATAAAAAAGAGACCTGTACAAGGTTCTGTCCATAACTATAATTTTCCCCATGGCTAGTAAACGTCTATCTATGCAATTCTGACAATTCAACGGCGAAGAGTAAACACTTCATGCCACGTGACTTTAGCGTGAAATCGGAAGCCATTGTCTGAAATTTAGCCGACTTTCTATCTGCGATTTTGGATTGCTTTTTCATTTAAATATATTATTAACGATTGTATTATAATACTTTGATATCGATCTCAATATATGCAAATAATCTGACTCAAAAGTTATCGAAATATAAGCACAATTACCGTTTACGTACGGGAGACATTTGCGGGAAAATACCGCTCTGACGTCACGTTTCCGTCGATTTCCATTCACGCGATAACAGCCATAGAAAACGGGATTGAAATTTGCTACTTTCGACTAAATGTAGCCTGGTTTTTATATGATATTACCAAGATTATAAATATTTTATATATTATCATTCAAATTATTACGATTTTTATAAGTTTTACCTGGATAGTATTCGCGGATTTGAGTTGTAAAATTTGTACGACCGATTCTTATTTATTATGATGTCACTCAGATGTGACTGAAGTGAAAACACTTTTTGGAGTACCGTATTAAAGTCTTTTGGATAGCATTTTATGAATATTTTCACAAAATATTTCAAAAAATTTTTTTCTGTCATTTAAATTATTGACCCGAAACCCAAAGGGAATTTTCATTTTTTCACTGTTGTATGCAGCAAAAACGAGTGCACAGTGTAAAAAGTGCTAAAGACATTTAGTATTACTATTAGACTATTAGCCTATTATCAATAAAAATGAAGTTATTTGATGAAAAAATAAAAATCTCCTGGATTCTCCTGTTTTTTCATTGCTGGTCTCCTGTTTTTTCATACCTGGGGGTATGTCTTCACATGTATATAGAAATAAAATTTAGAGTTTTGTCAGTACCTACCAAGCTACTTTGTGCAAAACATATGGTGATTTTTCACACTTATAAATTGATACATCTATAAATAATCATACACTAGGGTCCGTTTATTACAACACTGTTATAGCTAGACTCATATACTAAATTTAGTAATACAGTGGGTCTTCACTGTAACATTGACTTTCGGTTCCACTTGTACTAACCATGTTACTATAACACTGTTAGAAGCAGTGTACTGAAAGCAGCTGTCTTATATAGCAAACTGTTTTATAGTGAGATTCCAGTGTATTATCATAGTTGTTAGTTTGTCATATTAATACAAACTGAGGATAACTGCAAGGACATTAAAATGTGGCATCATTTACTTTACCTCTCTGGTTCTGTCTTCCAGCGTAAAAACAATTCTTTTCCTTTCTCAATAGTTTCTTTATGACCAATTTGTCTGGCTATATCTAAAATACGTGTTCTCAGAAACCTAAAGAAGAATTATATGACATGAGATCTGAGCATATGTGACCAGCTCCGTCTAGTTGCTACCATAAATGAAGATCCATGTCCGTTATTTGAGATATGACACAAAACAAGTAAAAACATTTCTTGGACCAATTTTGAGTTTCCAATATTCTTAATTCCCCAAAGCTCACAGGCCAAAATATAATTAAAGTTCACTTGGGAGAGTGTGCATAAAACCACAAGTGATTGGATAAAAACCAGCATTTATTAAGAATCAAAACAGCAATCTTCAAAAATATACACATTGGTTGTTTTTTTACAACATAAAATTGTATGGATGCAGCACTGCACTTTAAAGGAGAAGTCCCATTGAAGAAAGTGAGTTAAAGTATACAAGTTAAACACCAAACTGAAAAATTACCCAAACAGTTTTTCTTAAAGTTAATGGAGATATGCAAGATAAATCTTAGTGAAACAAACAAATTAGTGGAATGATTTTCGAAACCAATATCCCGCAGTTGTACAACCATCGGTTACCTTTTCGAATAAATACAAACTTTCAGTTTCCATATATTTCTGGTGGAATGTCGCCAAAATCCCCACTTTGTGGGACAGCTATATATGTATACAGGTATGTAGACATAGCTATTCAGGCACTAGCTAATAACTTGGATTTTGCAGGCTAAACAACATCCACATATAGAAAAGAAAATACCGGGTATGTGTTTCTGCAAACAGAAGTGACACAAGCTTCCCGTAGTTGAACTGAACTAGCATATATATTTCTATCACACAGTATTTATGTTTGAATCACAAAAATATATCTGGCACAGCTCTTTTAAACTTTTTTCAATATGTTAACATACTTGTGTAAAACCGTTCCCTCATCACTCCATCCTACTGCCTTGATCTGATTTGATATCAATTTTTCTACATATTTCTGAAAATAAAAATACTCATTTTAAAACAATAGATTTTTGATTATTTAAATTTTGAATAATACAGAGCTATCACTTAGATCATTATTTTAGATCAGTGATGCTATTTCACCCGTATATTCTGGGCATTTCCTACGCTATTTCCCAAATGTCCGACCATGAATATGCTCAATCGGACATCAAGATATGGTGAATAATATTTAATAGGCAATTAAGTGATCAACATATCTATCATGTTATACCGCCTATACACCTATCTTAAATAACTACTTAATCTGCCTTGATTGGCCGACTTAATCCATAGTTGGACAATTCATCAATCCAATCCTGAACCGAAGTTATTGCTTCTCCTTTGTCAGACAATGTATCAATCCATTAATTATAAACTTAATTTACATGATTAACCTGTGATTTCTCCATTGTCGGACATTTTAATCTCCTTGATGTTGGCCGACAACATGTAGGAACTAGTCATATATATATGTCACATACCCTAATAATATATAACACCCCAAATCAATATATCCATTAACTTGTCTGCGATATCACCTCGGTGGAAGCGGACGTTCAATAAAGCTATTTCACACAGTAGTAGTAGTATCTTGGTGCTTTAACGTCTGCTTCCACAGAAGTGATATCGCAGACACACACACATATACAATAATATACAATAAATACTAGACAATGCAAGCCCATGGTTATAATACAATAACTGAAACGAAAGTAGAAATCTCGCGACACTTGAAATTAAGAGATGGAAACGTGACAATTTCGAGAAGACTGATTTCAGAAAAATGATTCTATTTTGATGTCATATTCTAAGATTTATGATAATATTTTGAAAGGGGTTTATGTTTTTAAATAAAGAAATGTTGACGAAAATTTCATTTGGAATAGTGTAAATAGTTACATGTAATTGTTTTAAACGAAAGCGAGTGCGAGAGTCGAATGCTATTATTTAGACAATGATGTCACTCGCTCGGCATCGTAGAGTGGCAGTTACTGCCCAAACAAATTGAAACATGTCGTATTACGACAACACGTAATTTTGTAGGAAAATTACCAAAATAAATTTGAATACCGCATGGCAATTAAATATAAAAAATTAACGAGGTGCACATATTATTATTACTTACGAATTTGAATATTTTGTCGACAAATGATTTTTAATTGTGGTCTGAATCTGTCTGCTCAATAACGGTAAGAGTTATGCCCCTTTATTTTCAGTAAAAATGTCTGGCAGGAAAAATTTTGAAATAACAACATTGTTTTACATCCAGCTAGAAATTTGATAAACAAATCTACTAAATGTTAATAAGTTTATTGGCCTGTATAACTATCTATCTTACCTGTAAATATTGATATGACTCCTGATTTCTAAGCTGTGATAAGAGAAACCTAAATTGTCCTGTTATAACAGTTGACCATACTATGTATTCTGTTTCATTTTCCATATATTTGGTTATTTCAATGGCAGTTCTAGCATCTAGTTTGTTACATCTGTTTATAGATAAATGATATTAGATCTATTCCAGAAATAAAAAAAATGCTGGGGGTAAAAAAAAACCCCTGTAAAAACCCTAACTGACAATTGATCATATAAGGAAGAACCTATCACATTTCAAAACTTTTAGATCCAAAATTTCCAGTGCTAAGTTATCTTTGAGTTTATAACATAATACAGGACAAAGTTCCCAATGCAATTTTTCAAAACTTGGCGGGATTGTTCACTTGGGCTAAGGATGAACCCTATCAAAATTCAATATTATAAAGGTATTCTCCTATTTATATTCAAATTTAGGAAATTCTATAAAGTATGGAACAATAAATGTATGATACTTGTTATGACCCAGGAAAAATCAAATTGCATATTAAGCCCACAGTAGAGTATATATTACAAAACATCAACCGATTGAGTCTGCTATTGCTATCTTAGGAAATGTCATAGCATATCTATTTATCCATTCATTGTCTTGCTAATGGTGTATCTTGAATGATATAATGTTTTTGCTAACGAATCTATTTTACTTGATAGTTTTGATATGTTTACCAATCGGTTCTGTATGTATCTGTTGATGAAATATATCCTTAGAGCAAGAGGGTGGTCTTCAAAATGGATGTGATAATTAAACTCATTCAAATAAGTCTCACCAAATTAGCTCTGTTCTCTTCAACTTTTTCAATATTTATACATACCTTGATAACATGAAAGCATCATCTATTAGACCTACTCTATCAACAACATTAAATGCCTATAGAAAAAACAAAAACTTGAGAATAACAGTAGTACATGACAGAGTAATGAAATTCTATAAGTGAGTTATATAATATTAAGGAATTTTTATGTTCTGTTAATTTCTCTTTCACAAGTTTAAATTAACATATTTCATACAATTTATTTTTATTCCAGAAAAAATAAAAGTCCATAATAACATAACTTAATACCAGTAATTCAACATAAACAAAGTTTGCCCAGCATAAACACGCATTCCTTTTTGGAAGGCAGAATAAAGCCAAGAATGGATTCTCAAACAAAATAATAATTAGTGTTCTTATAAAGTGCTAGACTCCAAACAGTATTGTATGCTGAAATCAACGCAATAATCTTTATTATCAGACAGTGAATGCTAATATATTTATTATTAAAAGACTTTTACATTACCTTATGATTATCCTGTAGTTGTTTAATAATTTCATGCCACATATCACCATAATCTACACGGTAAAATCCATTTAATCTGACATTACCTTTTATCCAGCGATTACTTTTATCAAATTCTATAGTTACTAAAATATATAAACAAAACAAAAACAGGATAGTGTTACATCTGTTTATTTGGTCAGATTGAATACACAAAAGGAACACATCAATGATTCCTTGACAAAACACCTTCCAGGTAATTCAAATACATCAGCAACATCAACATCATCATAATAATAACTTTAATTAAAAGTACATACATTTAACAGAACATAACTTACCTGATGTTTTATTCATCCATATAGTTTGAATGTGACTTGGATTTTTATCAGTTATATAAGTAAAAGGTATATACCATTGATAACTATGTAAAGAAAACAAAATAAATTGTAATTGTATGGGGATGGAAGGATATATCAATGTTATAAATATATCTTAGAGTTGATCAAAACAAAATATAATACAAAATACATTTTACTAAACTTTCTTGTATTCCTATTATAGAAAAAGGCAAAGGGCTAAACAAAAAAAACTTACTTGAAAGGTGATATAAATTCAGGCTTTTCATCACTATTAGGATCAAATAGAAATCTGTCCTGTTCAAGGGTTACTGAATCTTCTGATCTTTTAATGGTGACCAATGGATACCCCATTTGTAATGTCCATGTATCCATAACATCTTTTACATTAATATTACTTCCACTAACCTAATATCAAAATGTATCATTACATACATATGTAAAACAACCTCAGTAGAATTTTTCTGTCATTACGCTTATACTTGTCTTTAAAGGAGCTAAATCGCTAATATTTGGGACCTACAAATTGACACAAATGGGGTCGCAACGTATATAATAATGTAATATGAATGTAAATAAACTGATTTACATTCAATCGTTCCCGTTTTTACTCTAATTTCAAAGCAGTTATGTTCGGTGAAATACGCCAGAAGTCTCAATCCAATGGCAATCTCTAGTGTCTGGTTATTCTAGTCTACACCGATAGTATTTATTGCGCATGTTCTCCAGATACGAATATGGGGATCACCGTTTGACATGACTTGTGGAACATGTTTAACCTCGTTCTTCGAGTTGCTTGCTACAAATTGCGCTGAAACGCATTATGGTACACAATTCGTGTACCAATCGTAAAATGTTTATTTAGATATCAGAAGCCAATCTTTTTCTGGTAAGATCACAACACCAATGTTGATTAAAATTGACAAATAATTCGTGTTTTCATTGTCGAAGGTCTTGGATGATATGCTGAAACGCATTATGGTACACAATTCGTGTACCAATCGTAAAATGTTTATTTAGATATCAGAAGCCAATCTTTTTCTGGTATGATCACAACACCAATGTTGATTAAAATTGACAAATAATTCGTGTTTTCATTGTCGAAGGTCTTGGATGATATTGAGTTAGAGACTTAGCTACTTTAAGCTTTATATAATTTATTAACACTGGTCAGAGAAAGCACTTTTGATAAAACTGCATTTTTTTCTTTTGACATTAAAAGCTGCTGAGACTGAGAGTAATTTGTATTTTTCGGACAATATCTAATTTTTCTGAACTTTATCCCAACTGACTATTTAACATTTAATTAAACATACATTATGCAAGAGCTCAATCTGCCTGTTGCAGGTCTTTCTTTAGTCCTGAAATGTTATCTAAATTATTAATTAGACATTAATTAACAAAACAAGACCATAATCAATTCTCAATGCCATCGGATACTCAAGATTTTAATTAGATTAGACTGGTTCGCCACTTAAAAATTCAATTTAAAAATGGGAAAGTCTCGATAATACCAGTGTCCTGGTTACCACAATGACATATCTTGTCAAAACTACAAACACTGATAACTTGGATCAGAATAGATCAATTTGAATGAAATTTTCATTTTACATTATCTATTTTTGAGCTATTTAGCAAGAATGGTCCGCTCTTTATCTAAATCTTATATAATGTATCTTTAAGAAAATAAATATCAAATTATCAATGATAGATAATCACCCAGCTTGTGTCGAAAGAATTTTCCTAACTTCTTGTTTATATTGTCTGCAGAAGAAGCCAATTGCTGGGAAATTTCTAATTCACAAAATCTTTGTAAATACTGAACAGAACTGAACCATTTGTTGATTGATATTCCATTTAGAAATTCAATTCTCAATTATATACAACTAGCAGGATACCCGGCTTCGCTCAGGGGTCATAACTCCGAAACGGGAAGTGGTAGACGAACGCCACCTTGCCTATGTTACTCCCCGGTCCGAGCTACCCCTATACCCCAAATTTCAGACTCGGGGCAGACCTAGTGTAGCCGCCAACCCCAAACAGACCGGCTTCGCTCGGGGGTCATAACTCCGAAATATTAGTATAGATTCAAAAAAAGTAGGGGATATTGAAACGCAAATAGGCCTACCTATGCAGGTTGTGATATGATATATAGTCATGGACACTTGACATGCTTTGAGAGTATGTTCGCAGATGAAGAACTTATCGCCCCAACAGAACTACTGAGCTGCACATGCCACACGCAATAGCGCAAAACATGTGGGAGGGCTTCATTGTCAAATTTGACACTTCAAGGAAGGGTTGATGAAAACTGCCGCTTGCTGGTTTATCCTATCCATGTTTCCTTTCCTATCCGTTCTTGCATAAGATTTACTGTTTAGTGTATCTTTGCTATAGTGTGTTGCATTTAATTTGATCGGGAGACGTGTTCGTTGACGTCAACGTCAACCGACAACACTGCAAGAATTGGCCGTGGCACTACAAGAGGAGTGGGTCAGATTGCCCCAAATCGTGATTGGACGGTTGATTAGGAGCATGCCATGACGAATTGCTGAATGTCTGAGGATTGGTGGAGCAATTACTCATTATTAAGACAAAAAACACAAACGTTCATTTTCACTTTTGACAGTGTATCTCTTTGCGAGTGAAATGGGGCCCGTCAGATAAGCCACCCATATGAACTGTTTATGTTCATGTGTAGGCAATTGGCCTGTTTTTAACATACACTGGTTACCTCTAATAAAAACAACAGTGCATTTCCGCAGTTTTGTATTGTTTCTGAATATCCCCTACTTTTTTTGAAGAGTATACATAATCAACTACTGTCATTTAGGTCAAATCAGATATATTTAATTGGGTAGTTTTGAATACATATTCAAACCAATGTATTTACCGGTAATATCTAGACTATGATTTTCAGTAAACGGATAAAAAACCAAACTTTATTTACCTGTTGTAATGATTTCCATAAGTCACTTGTTTTAGCATTTCCATATTTATGCGTTGTTAAGTAACTTGATAAACCTTTCTTAAAGTTTTCTTCACCTAAACATTCTCTTAACATTTTTAATATACTGCTTCCCTGTAACATGTATAAAACAACAATAATATAAATACAAAATGTTATCAAGGAAGTTTGTTGGTTTCTATGTTCTATGCACTTAAATATTACGAACCTGCAAGGACAATTCACTTAATAAAGATGTCCAGTCATTGCAAATCCTTTATATTTTATTCATTACCTGAAACAGTTTGAACAATGCAAAATACAAGGTACATCTTATTTTGTCTTTTACTAACAAATCAAGACTGTCTGTGATGTCATCGGGGTACAACTATTACGCGGGGTAAAAGTTGGTCTCTGTTACAAATAAATAGTGTCTCTTCGTACACATGGCTTAGTGTCTGTTCCAGACGATACTCCGACTCGAAAATTGCTTGCCATATTTTCTCCATTTTTTAATTAAAATGGCTAAAACTTTGTGACATATCTGGAATTTTCATCCCTTTGATTTCTTCCTTTAGCCTAAATGACTAGACCTCCGATAAAATCCAGTATTCTCTTGTAAATTTCACATATTTAGACATTGTCACTTTCTCAGAACATAAACATTACGACTGCGTAGACAGGTACTTTACAAATTAGGTGCATTCGGTTAGAAATGTCTAGTGAAGGAGAATTCGCCTGTTCGTTTCGCGACAATAGTACTTCACACTGTGAAGCCTGTGTGAAACAATATTGTTTTTGTTTTTGTTTGGATTAATGTGGGTTTTTTTTTCTAATTTCACTTTGCTTATTTTGCCCAAAAATAGGTTGCCAGGCAACGAAACATACGCCCACAGCAGCTAGATCATTCCAGCGGCCGACAAGGGTTGTCACGTATTTATTTCTTTGTAGGTAATTGGGAGCCTTTACAAGACAGTTCCATACAGATCAGATTATAATTTGTCGTTTGAGGGTTCACAAGGTTCTACAAACTGAAACAAGGGCCTCAACTCTGGAAATAGTCTACAGAAATTGTTGAAATTTGACAGGCTTTTTTGTTTTACTAATTTAAATAATGCATATAAATTTCAAACAGATCGGACGATCACTTCTGTCATTCAAATGTTCATAAGGTTCACAACTCTAGAAATAATTGACGGAAATTGCTGAAATTCAGTAGACCTCTGTTTCACAAATTTAAATGATGCATATAAATTTCATACATTTCGGATGATAACAAAGTGAAACAAGGGCCATAACTCTAGAAGTAATTACTGTAAATTGCTAAAATTCAATAGGCTTTGTGGTTTCACTAATTCAAATAATGCATATAAATTTCACAAAGTCGGATGATAACTTTTGGCGTGAAACGAGCCATAATTCTAGACATAATAAACGGAAATTGCTAAAATACAATAGGATTGTTCTTTTTACTAACTTAAATGGCACATATAAATTTCATCCAAATCGGCAGATAACTTTAGAAATGAAATGGGGTTTAATGTCCTACTGTTCTGCTCCTAAACTGGGCTAATGAAGAAGGGGATAACTTTAGATAGAAGCTAGGGCCTTCACAAAGTGCAACAGAGTGAAACAAGGGCCATAACTCTGGAAGTAATAAACAGAAATTGCTAAAAGTAAATAGGATTCTTCTCCTTACTAATCTAATGACGCATGTAAATTTCATTGGGTAAAATGATTCAGAATTTTGTTTTTTGAGACTTTATAGTTTTGTTTAAGAGCAAAGTCTGGGAATGTGGCATTTTTAGAAAGCATTTTAGTTTCTCAAAATTTTTGCTTGAAACTTTGTGATAACATATATGTACTGATCAGCTGTCAAACACAAATTTACTTAAATCATCTTCCGTCCTAGATCTAGCTTTTTAGCATATAAACTGGGTAATAATTATCAAGCTGACCCAGAATTAACAGTATTCTTAGAAAATGTGCATTATTTTTACCTATTCGGAAAACTTTTAGGGGTCGAAATTTAGTTGCCCTTGAAAATGAGCAGAACAAGACAGAAGTTTTCGTTACCCTGCAATTTGGATCTTAAAAGAGAGAGAGAGAAATGGGGTTTCACGTCCACTCGACACCAACTAGGTCATTTCGGGACTAACATATGGTTTAATTTTATTTCAATAATTCGCTTGGGTGTAGGGATCTTTAGCAGTTGGAGGAAACAAGAGGACCCAGCGAAAACCCACGAGGTTAGACAGGCGACCCTAGTCCTTGTCATGTACAACCAGGGATTTGAAACCACGCCAGTTGACTCAATGACAGGCCTTATGATACAGCACGCACAGCACGCACGTGCTAACCATTCGGCCATCCAAACCCCCTTGGATCTTAAGGCTGAAACATAACTATTATCAAAGGCATATATAAGTCATGTATAAGAGCAAATGAAAATCCATAATTCATTTTTAATTTTTGACATTTCCGGTAAATAGGCAATGCCCATAAAAGAATAAATGATTGTTCGATTTTTATAAAAATTTGCACCATTCTGTGAATGTTCCTTAGATGTAACCAATTGCTCACCGATATTATTGTGGCAAAAAATGTATTCTTGCAAACATATATATCAAAAGATAGTTTCTAACTTCAGTCATTGCCCAGAAATGGGCAATTGTTCAAGAGTAACCTTTTACATTGTTTTGCCACAACACATTTATTTATAGTTTAATAGACATTTTACCATTTGATAGCTTATACAAACCACCATAAAATCCAATTAATCCAAAATTTCCAGTATTACCAGAAATGAAGCGATTTTGAAAAAACAAAACACTATTTTTATCCTTAAAAAACAAATATTTGTTCTAAAGACGGTTAGTCGCTACCCTTTACTAATACTATTTACTAACTTCGTTTAACTCATATTATGAAGACATACAATCATGTTGGTATCATAAAAAATTCTTAACTTTGTCCTTTGCCGAGAAATAGACGACTTGTATACAAATATACAATCAGGCAGATATTACAAAATAATCTCCAACTTTATCCATTGCCGAGAGATGGCCGATTTATCAATAGTCACTTTGTATGGTTTCCACACTTTAATATGTATTGATAAATGGCTATTTCGCGTCCATTTTTTAACATGTATTGGAATCTGTTAAACCGTATCATTAGTACGGGAAAAGGTGTCCGCTAAAGGGTACGGGCGCAGGTGAAACTCATCATCACAGGTCTAGTTTTCAATTGGTTTCAGGGCTGTTTCTTAATGCAAAATAAATATATATATGTTTACAATAACACTATTTTATGGTTAACAGTATTTTAATATTCCTTACTGTTCATTACATCATTGATATTCATAGTATTACAGAACACTTATTTTCAGTAGCATATGGAATGGTAACCTTTGCGATAAAGTGTAAATGTTTTTGTAAAATATCTAACTCCTTAGCTTAAGTTTAAAATTTCCACTGAATAATGCAAACCAACATAACCAATGGATATTGTGGACCAAATTATTTTTGAGTATGTCCTGCAGCCTCCTTCCAAAATTCCATCACATGTCAGCACAATAACAGGTTAGAATTTGTATGTAGCTTATATCGATATCAAAAAGTTACAAACCTCGGGAGGAGGGCAATTAAATTTTCAAGTCAGTGGGACAAACAACCGTGGTCTGGGTTCCAGTAAATAGCTCTTTCAAAAAGTTATATTCTACTGGACCAAAACAACCACCTACACATCCAAGAAGTGCGAAATGACTTAAAGCCAACCTAGCACCCCTTGTTCGCTTAGGCTCTTCTAGATAACTAGGCCAAACATGGCTGTTTTCAGTACCAAGATGTCAACAAACCACGATTTTTCAAGGGAGAAAAGCTATATAGCTTGATCTGAACTTAGGTCTCACAAGACAGAAAGCAATGGGATGACTATTCCAGGTATTTCACAAAGTTTTAGCCATTTTAAACCAGCGGCTGCCAGGCAGGATACTCCCACATTTTCGAGAGATGGATAGAGAACAAGCTAACAAGAAAGTGATTTTTCCTACAATCAAGGGCCATAATTCAGGAAATTACAATTCGATATGCGCAAATATCGAAAGGAACTGAGATCTTTGTGTTATAAACTTACATTTCAAGTTTCAACAAAATCGGATAAAAATTGTGACCTCTATAGGGTCCACAACCTTGATATACCATATTTTTACGCTATTTGAGAACGAACGGCAGCCATTTTGTCTATCAATTTTGGGCCGATTTTCACGAAATTTGAACTCCGTCGTCCTTAGGGTGTAACGGTGATATAATAATACGTTTTCTTAAATCTGATAAAAATTATGACCTCTATAGGGTCCACAAGATAAAAACGTGATTTTCTGTACGATCAGGGGCCATAATTCAGGAAGTTACGGTCCGATATGCGCGAATATCAAAAGAAACCGAGATCATTGGGTTATAAACTTACATTTCAAGTTTCAACAAAATTGGATAAAAATTGTGACCTCTATAGGGTCCACAACCTTGATATACCATATTCTTACGCTATTTGAGAACGAACGGCGGCCATTTTGTCTGTCAATTTTGGGCCGATTTTCACAAAATTCGAACTTGGTCATCCTTAGGGTGTAACAGTGATATAATAATACGTTTTTTTAAATCGGATAAAAATTATGACCTCTATAGGGTCCACAAACTAAAAACGCGATTTTTCGTACAATCAGGGGCCATAATTCAGGAAGTTACGGTCCGATATGTGCGAATATCGAAAGGAATCAAGATCTTTGGGTTATAAACTTATATTTCAAGTTTCAACAAAATTGGATAAAAATTGTGACCTCTATAGGGTCCACAACCTTGATATACCATATTCTTACCTTATTTGAGAACAAACAGCGGCCATTTTGTCTGTCAATTTTGGGCCGATTTTCACGAAATTCAAACTCAGTCATCCTTAGGGTGTAACGGTGATATAATAAAACGTTTTTTTAAATCGGATAAAAATTATGACCTCTATAGGGTCCACAAGCTAAAAACGCGATTTTACGTACAATCAGGGGCCATAATTCAGGAAGTTACGGTCCGATATGCGCGAATATCGAAAGGAACCGAGATCTTTGGGTTATAAACTTACATTTCAAGTTTCAACAAAATTGGATAAAAATTGTGACCTCTATAGGGTCCACAACCTTGATATACCATATTCTTACGCTATTTGAGAACAAACGGCGGCCATTTTGTCTGTCAATTTTGGGCCCATTTTCACAAAATTCGAACTCAGTCATCCTTAGGGTGTAACGGTGATATAATAATACGTTTTTTTAAATCGGATAAAAATTATGACCTCTATAGGGTCCACAAGCTAAAAACGCGATTTTACGTACTATCAGGGGCCATAATTCAGGAAGTTACGGTCCGATATGCGCGAATATCGAAAGGAACCGAGATCTTTGGGTTATAAACTTACATTTCAAGTTTCAACAAAATCGGATAAAAATTGTGACCGCTATAGGGTCCACAAGCTAAAAATGTGATTTTTCATACAAACAGGGGCCATAATCCATGAAGTTTCGATCCGATACATGCCAATATCGAAAGCAGCCGAGATCTTTTGGAGATAAACCTATATTTCAAGTTTCGTCAAAATCGGATAAGATTTGTGACCTGTAGAGTGTCCACAAACAAATTGTGGACGGACGGACGGACAGGGGCGACGGCATAATACGTCCACATGAAAATGTGGGCGTATAATAAAAATTGAAGAAATGTCACGCAATTTTCGAGCTGTAGTATCACATGGAACAGACAGTAGGGTAAATACATTAAGAATGTAGAAGAATATTGTACCATGTGTGCTTTTTTTTGTTTACAGTGTCACAGCCAATATGTCCACTTATTCTTTAGGAGGAGCATAGATAAAATATAAAGAATCTAAAACAGCTGGTCTTCTCCTTTCACAGTATGCTCTTCAATTTCAATTAATCATAATAAAATATTATTATCCATAGTAAACTATTCGCCATATTTGGTCTCTTTGCGTCAATAACTGTACACATAGGGTTTTGTATTCTTGAAATGAAGGTCAAACCAAGGTTCTCAAATATGAGAAAGCCTTTACTTAATTCAATTATGAAAGACTTCTTTAATCTTTAATTCTAGAAAACATTTACAAACCTTATTATATGATATGTTATCAAATATTTCATTAATTTGATCAGGATTTGAAACTTTAGTCTGTATAGGATGAGATGTACTCAGTGAATCCAGATTTAAAGCTACCAGAAAATCATTGACAATAAACTGATCAGTCTGAAAGTAAAATAAAAATAATAATACAGTAGGAAGCAAAACGTAAACATCTTTGAGTGTTATAAGCTTTTGATTTATCAGTGGCGTGCCAGGGTGAGGTCAAATCTCACTACCATTGTCACACGTTACTGCTTATTAAAGGCTTATCATTATTACCTTATATAGTGTGACCTATTCAGATTCAGTGGCATATTTAGGAAGAGGGGACCAAACCCCTTCCCACAAGATACACACAAAACCTGGCACCGAAAATATCTTTCTTGAGTTATTTTCAGGGTTCTATTGCTCTATTTGTATTCTATATAATTGTGTTATGTGTTTTTCTGCCGCCCAATAACTCTCTTTATTATCAATTTAAGGAAGGAATTAATATTTTTGCAATCACCACCTTTTGGAAATGCTGGATATACAACAGTGCCTAACGAACAATAATCTGCAGTTTGCCATGTAGAATGTTCAAGAGAAATTGCATGGATGGACGGTAGTGACCTTGGCATATATAAATATATGAATGACAGTGAGTACATACTATAGCTACTACATACCATTCTAAAATTAGGTAAAACAACATCAGTACCAAGATATTCTACATAAGATGCAAATCCTTCATTTAACCAGAGATCATCCCACCATTCCATAGTTACCAGATTACCAAACCACTAGAAATACATACAAACACTTCTGCAAGTTATTTATTTCCATTAAATGGCATTTCAATAATATATAAATAAATATAAATAAAATTATACATGAGAATTTAAAGAATGAAAAAGAATTAAATATGGTCAATTTACTTATATTGTAATCAAAATATTACATCTGTTATCTATTCATGCTAGATTAAAGAAATTGTTTCAAATACCAGAAGTTATATTTCATACAAAGAATCTAAAACTATAATAATAGTAGACAGATGCAACATCTTGAAGTTAATCTAACAATATTTCATTACATGTTTCTATATATACTTTACAGTTTTTTAATGTTTCAAAAGGTATTATTAATTCTAGAGTGTCAATAAATTAAATTATCTTCCTTAAAACAACTGTTATAAATGACTAATTAGGACTACATTTCAATGATCACATCCACAATCACTTTATTGATGTTTTTTAATATTGATTTATGTATTATAAATAATGTGATTTTTATACGCCCACATTTTCATGTGGACATATATTGTCGTCGCCCCTGTCCGTCCAGACGTCCATCTGTCTACATATTGTTTGTGGACACTCTAGAGGACACAATTTTTATGTGATTTTGACGAAACTTGAAATATAACTTTATCTCCAAAAAATCTTGGTTCCTTTCGATATTGGCATATATCGGATCAAAACTTCATGATTTATGGCCCCCGATTGTACGAAAAATCTTGTTTTTAGCTTGTGGAGACTCTAGAGGTCACAAATTTTATCCGATTTAAAAAAACGTTTTCGTATATCACCGTTACACCCTAATGATTGTTGATTTTGAATTTTGAGAAAATTGGAACAGAACTTTGGACAAAATGGCCGCCCCTTGTACGCAAATAGTGTAAACATCTGGTATATCAAGGTTGTGGACCTCATAGAGGTCACAATTTTGATCTGATTTTGATGAAACTTGAAATGCATGTTTATAACCCAAAGATCTTGGTTCCGTTTGATATTTGCACATATCGGACCGTAACTTCCTGAATTATGGCCCTTGTTTGTATGAAAAATCGCATTTTTAGCTTGTAGTCCCTCTAGAGGTCACAATTTTTATCCGATTTCAAAAAACGTTTTACTATATCAACGTTACACCGTAATGATGGTTGAGTTCGAATTTCTTGAAAATTGGACCAAAACTGCCGGACAAAATAGCCGCCCCTTGAATGCAAATAGTGTAAAATATGGTATATCAAGGTTGTGGACCCTCTAGAGGTCACAATTTTCATCGATTTTGATGAAACTTGGAATGCATGTTTATATCCCAAAGATCTTGAGTTCTAATTTCGAGAAAATCGGACAAAAACTGACGGTCATAATGGCCGCCCCTTGTACGCAAATAGTGTAGAAATATGGCATATCAAGGTATATTGTGTATAAGTATGTAACACAAAGGTTATGGACCCTCTAGAGGTCACAATTTTTATCAGATTTTGATGAAACTTAAAACATATCTTTATATTCCAAAAATCTCAGTCCCTTTTGATATTTGCGGATTTCAGACCATAACTTTCTGGATTATGGCCCCAAATTTTATGCATGCACCTTTATATGTGCGTTCTTTTTTGAACAACATTTAGTAAATGAACAGTAACACACTAAAAACTATTATGGAATAACAATTACTGGTTTATTTACAGGTAACGTTTCGACGATGGTACTCTCGTTTTTATTAAGAAAATGGTAAAAACAAAGAAGCAAAAAACTGAATTTATTTGGAATTGAAATTTGTCTTTTTCAGCCAATCAAGTATCTTCAATCCATAATCAGGGTAACATACACAGAAGATATGTCCATGGTTCCTACAAAAAGTCTGTTTTCATTTTAAACCCACCTTTAAGTCAACGAAGAAACTGGACACGGGAAAATAACTAATCAAACACATCACTACATTAATTTAGCAATGGTTAATGAAGTGATAAATGCTGGTAACCATTGCTTCAGTAAGATATTTATTTCATTATTATATAACCTGTACCTACCTGATGAGCTAATTCATGTGCCACGACAGTAGCTACCCATTGTTTATTAGATAAAGATGATGAGGAGGGATCATATAATAAAGCTGTTAAACGATATGTTATTAAACCCCAGTTCTCCATAGCTCCTGCTGCAAAATCTGGTATAGCTATTAAATCTGTAAAATAAAATGTAATAAATGAAACAACAAAACGAATTTCAAGTCAAATAACAATAAATGTTTAATAGTTGGGCTGAATGTTTATCAGAATTTTCATAATCTTCATATTCATTGCAAAAAAAAAAAGAAAAAAAAAAGACATACATACAGGAAATATTTCTTCAAGCACAAAGCACGAAGTGCATAGGGTTGTTATATTTTTGCAGGAATTTATCAATAAATAACGACAAAAATAGCACTTTTGTCCGTAGGATCTTTTAATATTACCCGAAAGTATGTTATTTTTGTCTGAAAATATGTTTCTTTTGCCTGAAGATGTTTTATTTTGTCTGAAAAATCTTATCTTCCAGTATCCCAGTAACAAATGTTCTAGACCATGTTGTTTTCCCTACAAAATAATAACAATATTGATGGAAATTACCTTGTTTGGGAAGAGGATATGGTACACCAAAGAACTCATCATAATATTCCAGTATTTTAATAGCTGAATTTAGAGCAAACTCTGCTTGATTTATCATATCTTTAGGAGCATATACACTAACCTAAAACACATCAGAAAAATAAAATCAAAACAACCAAATTCTCATCCATTATTAAGTTCAAATCATGACCATAATATTCAAATTAAGGGGGGGGGGGGGAATTATAATTTTTAGTACCTCTGATATCCAGTGGGCCTTCACCTTCAATCACAATGTAACATAAATTGATGTCTTGAAATTAACTTATGAATTTTCATACTCACACATATTGTGGTGTATGCTCCAGTAGTTTTTATTTTATAATAGTTCTAATTTAGTCTTATTTCAATCTAACTTCAACCCTTTTTTTTTTGGATTCCACAGCTTGTATTGAAAATTTAATCCAAACAGAAGAAGTTAACATGCACTAACTCTACACGTACATGTATGTGTCAGTGATTGTAACAGCAACATGAATTTACTTTGAACCAGTTTGCTTCAATATGTAAATTTTGGACAAAATACAAAAACAAATAAATACATTTACATATCAAAACTTCTATACTACTTCTATTTTCAAGTTTAACTCATCTAACCTATCATTTTGACATTATTACCCAACATCCAAAAATCATCTTTGGCCACAATGAAATGATGAAATATTTAATCCCTCAAACCTTGATATATTATACAGTCAGAGAAACCAATAATACACAATTTTGTTTATGTATTTGGTAAGAAAAATAAATCATGACTTTAATTACCGTAACATTATTTTTGGTGGTGTCACTGATATGATCAAAATCAGAAACCACAAAAGCAACAAGATATGTACTCATTCTCTTACTGAGTTGAAACTCATCAATAACTAGATTATTATCCGTAGCTGGTTTGGTAGATAATAATGGCATGTTAAATAAAGCGACATGCTGCTTGTCTCGTACTATAGACATTCTAAATGTAGCTTTCATCTGTGGTTCATCAAAACAAGGGAAGGCAGCTCTTGCAGCAGTCGGTTCAAAATGTGTGGTCGCAATATGCCTGAAAATAAATTGAAAAATTATCCATTTAGCACAAGAAGTGAGAGAAGTGAGTATTTAACTAGACTGATTACAGTTAATCATCCTACTCTAGTTATTATTGCTTACCAATCTATAATCAATATCCCAATGTCATTTAAAACAAAATGTACTCCAAACTCTCTTAAGCGACTGGTGGGGGGGGGGGAATGCAATGTAAAATTTACCTCATAGTACATTGCATGGCATATAAAAAAGTAGACGTTGAACTGTTTTTCACTTCATTTTACATACGTTTGAGACTAATTTTAGTCATGAGATTCTGATCTAAAACAAATTACCTTTCTTCTCCATCTTTAGTTTTATAAGTACTTTTATAAAAGCCTTCTAATTTACTGATTAGTTGACCTGCAAACTTAACCTCTAGTTGTACATTTTCAGATGTTTTCAGTGACCTTTCCAATAAAATATAAAACTGTTTGTTCTTCTTATATTCCATAAATTCCCGAGCAATAACATTACTTCCAGATGCTGTAATACTGTAATCTGTTATATTCAAATCCTTGATGTGAAACACAATAAAATCAGTTTCATGTTGAATATCCAGCATGATTTTTACTCTTCCTTTGAAGACTGAAGTGGAGATATTTGGATGCATGAAGACATCATAACTTATTGGCAGGATGGATTCGGGGAGACGTATATTTTTCCATGGAAATTCCTTTCCGTTGGTTGCTATGAATTCTGGTTCTGGTGCGACGGTCGAAATGGGTTTGATGTCACAGTGATCAGCTGATGCACATGCCTTACACTCTGGTCGAGCGAATGCAGCAATGGATGCAATGATAACCAGCAACATACCAAGAAGTATAAGAATAACTATTGCCCAGGTCCTACTACAGATGAGCTGCTGACATCTCTGATGCCTGGTGGGTTCATACACTGACTTCTTATGTAATATAGTATCCCCTGATAAATAAAACAATTAAAAGAGGTGAATAACAGAAAAATACAAAAATAATATAATATTACAATTTTAAAGAGTCATTATGCGAGAGCTAAGTATGTCTATTACAGGGCAGGATTAGACAATGTCTCCCATATCTGTGTGAAATGATAATATGGCCAGGTAAAGAAATAATTTTCCAAAAACACATGTCATCACTCACAGAGACTGCAGATTATAGTTATACAATGCTTTCTATTCTGATATATTAATAGTAAAGTAATTGCATCATTAGTCAGACATCTGATAAAAGTGCCAATTTATCACATCGCTGAGAATAAAATAATTTTTGAACTATTAAAGCAAGAACAGCCAGCTCTTTCTCTAAATCATACATAATACCTCTTTAAATAATTTAATTTGCCATTTTTTGCATCACTTGTTACAATATATTAATCAATAATTAAAATGCAATAATGCAGTTCTCTACACTGGTACATATCCTTTATAGTTAATACAACTTGTTATTGATAATCAACATTTTACAAATACACGTAATTAGTAAATAATAAATTATATCTTTAAGGGTCTATACCCTTTTAGACTACATTTTAAAGTGTTTACTTCTTACCGGAAACCCCTCGAAGAAAGTTTTAATTTTGCGACTGACTTATGGTTTGGCGAATCGTTACGGACGGACAGATCCCATTTCAATATTTTATGATTGACTTTAAAGAAAACTTATGGGGCTATGGCTTGGCGAATTTTTACGGACAGATCCCATTTCAATATCGCTCCCTTGGTGCCGGAAGATAAAGAGATTTTATTTTAGAAAGGAATAGGGTCATTTCATATCAACTGGATCAATGGTGGGAACATGACCCACTCAAAAAAAATTATAAACCAGCGGTTACCAGGCAAGATGTGCCCACATTTTACAAGAGATGGATAGAGAACAATCTAAAAACAAAAGCAATTTTACGTACAATCGGGGACCATAATCCAGAAAGTTATGTCTGAAGTGCGCAAATATCGAATCGGACTGAGATCTTTGGGACACATATATTTTAAGTTTCATCAACATCAAAATCGAATAAATATTGTGACCTCTAGAGGGTCCACATTCACAACCTTTGTATTTGCGTACAAAGAGCGGCCATTTTGTCGGGCAGTTTCGTTTTGATTTTCCCGAAATTCGAATTCAACCGTCATTATGGTGGAATGGTGATATGCGGTTTTTAAAATCAGATAAAAAATTGTTACCTCTAGAGAATCCAAAATAGTGAAAGGAACCAAGATCTTTGAGACATAAACATATTTAAAGTTTCATCAAAATCTGATAACAATTATGACTTCTAGAGGGTCCACAACCTTAGTATGACATACTTTTACACTATTTGCATACAAGGGGTCACCATTTTGTCAGAAATTAGAACTCAACCATAATTAAGGAGTAACGGTGATAAATTTAAACGTTTTTTACAATTGGATAAAAATTGTGACCTCTAGGGGCACCACAAGCTAAAAATGTGATTTTTCGTACAATCAAGGGCCATAATTCAGGAAGTTACAATCTGATATGCGCGATTATCAACAGGAATTAACATGTATTTCAAGTTTCATCAAAATCGGATGAAAATTGTGACCTCTAAAGGGTCCACAACCTTGATATATCATGTTTACATTTTGTCTGGCAGTTTTGGTCCGTTTTTGACGAAATTCAATCTCAACCAACATTACGGTGTAATTATGATATATTAAAACGTTTCTTAAAATCTGATAATAATTGTGAGGGACCACAATTTAAAAATGCAATTTTTCGTACAATCAAGGGCCATAATTCAGGAAGTTACAAACCGATATGCAGGATTATCGAACCAAGATCTTTGGGTAACAAAAGTTTCATCAAAATCGGATGAAAATTGTGACCTCTAGAGGGTCCACCATCTTGAAATACCATATGTTTACATTATTTGCGTATGAGGGGCAGTCATTTTGTCAGGCAGTTTTGGTTTGATTTTGACAAAATTCAAACTCAACCAACATTACAGTGTAACGGTGATATATTCAAACGTTTTTTTAAATCGGATAATAATTGTGACCTATAGAAGGACCACAAGTTAAAAATGTGATTTTTCGTACAATCAGGGGCCATAATTCGGGAAGTTACAATCCGATATGCGCGAATATCGAAAGGAACCAAGATCTTTGGGTTATTAACATGCATTTCAAGTTTCATCAAAATCAGATGAAAATTGTGACCTCAAGAGTGTCCACAAACAAATTGTGGACGGATGGACAGGGGTAACGGCAAAATACGTCCACATGAAAATGTGGCCATATAAAAAAGGTGAATAGTTCATTTGTTCCACATTTTGCCAACTGGTGGCATGATCTGTGTGAAACGCACATTGTGGGTGATGCTAAATGCGTAATCTACACCCAAAGTTGTCTTAGAGTACAAGGGGGTGTGTGTGAGGGTGTGTGTGTGGGGGTGTGTAGATGGCCGAATGGTTAGCACGCGGCGCTATATCATAAGGTCTGTCACTGAGTCAACTCGCATGGTTTCGACTCCCCGGATGTACTTGACAAGGATTAGGGTCGCCTGTCCAACCTCGTGGGTTTTCTCCGGGTCCTCCGGTTTCCTCCCACTGCTAAAGACCACTACGCGCAAGCAAATTATTGAAATAAAATTGACCCATATGTTAGTCCCAAAATTACCTAGTTTGTGTCGAGTTGGCGTTTAAACCCCATTTCTCTCACTCTCTTTGTCTTAGAGTACAATGTAAGAGAGTTCTACTCCTATTAGAAATGTAAGTTTAAAGCACCTGGAAACCTGAAAACAATAACTGAATTTGTGATCCGCTTCAGTATCCTAATTTCAAACGGCCATATCTCAGTGAGTTATCGACCTAGAGAGGTATAATTTTGGATTTGTTAGCTTAAGACCGTATAATATAGCATATATTTTTTAAAAATTTTTGGGAGGGCCTATGTTCCTAACTTTCCGAAATCTGGTCCATTTGACATGGAATGACCCAGTAGATCTTGGTTGTTAAATACTGTTATAAAACAAAGTGCCGTGAATAGACTGCGTAATACAGAATAACATCTAGTATATTACTAAGTGAAGATTATTTTACAACTTCAAAGCAGAATTTGTATGCATTGCTGAAAATTCCAAAATAATTAATAATGTTGATTTCTTTTCATAGCCTATCAATAATACTGAGTATTCTAAAGTTTCTAGCATTGTTTTCACCACTTTTAATGTTATACCAAAAACAATTACAACCCTAAAAATACTTTTTGCTCATCTGAAATATAATTGTTCTTAAAGGTCACCGGAAAATCTTCAAATGTTTTTAAATAATGCAAGTAATTATGTCAACATATCCTTTCCATAAGTATAGCACGAACCCGAATGTCAATATTATCTTCAACAGGTAAATCTCAACGGTAATAATTTCTGCCTTTCTCCGTGAGTAGTCCTAACTTTTCGTCAATAAACAATCTGTGCTGCATTTTAGTCCTTCCGCTCATATGTCTAGTCTATATTTCTATGAACAGAAGAACTAAAATGACGTCACAGATTGAAAACATAAATCATTTGTCAATTTAAATCAACATTGATGTTGTGATCTTACAGGGAAAAGATGGGCTTCTGATATCCAATATTTAAGACAAAATAAACATAATTTGTGTACCATAAGTCGTTTTAGCGCCATTTGTAACAATGGACTCGAAGAACAAGGCTAGACATATTCCACGAGTCATGTCGAACGGTGACTTCATATTCTTATCTTGAGAGCATGCACAATAAATACACCAGTGTAGACTAGAATAACCAGATGCTAGATATTGCTATACAATTGAGACTTCTGGCCTATTTCGCCGAACATAACTGATTTGAAATTAGAGTAAAAAGGATATGATTGAATGTAAAATTAGTTTATATACATTCATATTACATTATTATATGCGTTGTGACCCATTTGTGTCAATTTCTAGGTCTCAAACATTAGTGATTTAGCTCATTTAACTTTAAATATAGTGAAAAAAGAAGAATTAACAAATTAATAAATAAAACATTGCTGAGCTTTCTAAACACTATTATAGAGAGTAGCCCAAGGATGCAACTGACACTTACCAGAAAGACAATAATTCTGATTATAAAAGCTAACACATTAACTAAATGCCAATATTAATAGTATAATTGCATGGTTGATTTCATTCTTTCAAATGTCAATATTAATGGTAAATTGTATAAATGAACCTCACAAACATTATTGTCGAAATAAAAACTTGAATCCAATGCTGAACTTATTGAACCATAAGACAGTTGAATATATAACAATACCATCATACAATAAAAATACTTGTGTAGTTACTAAATAAAAATACATAATTTTATTAAAGGGGCACTATGGGAGATTAGAAAAAGAGTTGACAGTTCTCACTATAATAGTTAAAAAATAAATAACGTGAATAGAATATGCCAAAAATTTTGAATTTTAGGCTAGCCTTGATCATCATTACTAAAGATGGCACGAGAGAAAACAAAGTCTTGATTATCCATTTTTATGTTTAATTATTTTCAAAACTAGCGGTTGCCAGGCAGAATACGCCCACATTTTTCAAGAGATGGATAGAGAACAAGCTAAAAACAAACAGGATTTTTTGTACTATTATCTGCAATTATCCAGAAAGTTATGGTCTGAAATGTGTAAATATCAAAAGGGACAGAGATCTTTGGGATATAAAGATATATTTTAATATATCAGAATCGGATAAAAATTGTGAACTCTAGAGGGTCCACAACCTTCGTATTGCATACAAAGAGCTTTCATTTTGTCGGGCAGTTTAATTTTGATTTTCCCGAAATTCGAATTCAACCTTCATTATGGTGGAATGGTGAAATATTTACTGGTAAATGTTTTTTAAAATCAGAAAAAAAAATGTTACCTCTAGAGTCTACGCAAGCTAAAAATGTGATTTTTTCGAACAATCCGGAGCCATAATC